AAAAACCCTTTAATATATAATTATATGATATAAAGAGAACTATATTATAGCAATAATATGTTATTATATTATTGTAATATGATGTTCATTGTTACATTTATATTATTATATTATTGATATAATAATTATACTGTAATATAATAATTAAAATATCAATTAATAATATACATAAGCTCTAGATTATGATTTCCAACCTATTTTAATGCACCTGTGTTAATTTCATTGAAATATTCACAAAATTGAAACCTGGGACTATTGGTTTGATATTTTGTGATAGTACCCACTTCTCCTGAATTTCCTATCCTGTTGCATTGCTGAAACCAAAGGATGTCTTTCTTGACCCCTCTCCCTCTCCTTTACAGAGAGAGAGCACCAAATAACTTGAGCTTCATTTTCTTCTTGCCAAAGAAGGAAAGGAATAGCCCCTCTCCACAGCCCCACATTGAAACTTGACCTCTAAGCACAGAGCCAGTGACTGCTCCTTTTTCTGGAGAAGCAATCCCAGCAAGCTCTCCCATTTCCCTGGGCAGATCAGGGGAGATAATCCCTAAGGTCCCCCAAGGCTTTTGGGAATTCCAGAGCTTGGAGTGGGAGTGTTCACAAGAAAGCCTCCCAGAGAGCCCTACCTGCATTCCTCCAAAGGCACAGGTCACTGTCTTGTTGAGTCATCACGGCCCCTGTCCATGTYTTATCTCCCTACAGGACACCAAACACTTCAGGCAGAGATCATGTATCAGTGACCCATTCCCCATAAGGTCTGACACAGAGTAGAATCTCAGTGCTTGTTGAATGCATTTATGAATGAAAAAAAAAATGAGCATTCCCAGGCAGAACCGCCCATGTTCCTCCAGTAGGAGATGAGATTTTTACCGATTATTGAAGACATTCCCCCTGACCCTTCAGAGATTCCAGAAGCTAATGAACTTCAGAGTCAAGAGGATCATTTTTCCTTGTCTAACCTACATTTATCTAGATGCAATTTCAGGGCATTTTCTTCTAATCTACCTCCCTGACCACTGGGACTAAAACCCATTTCTTTGCAAGGAGACAGTTACTAATTCACTCTTTTAGCCTTTTCTTCAAAAAAATTAATCCCAGGCTCCTTATTGTTCCCTCTCTGGGGTCCTATTGTCCAGACCTTTCCTTGTTTCACTGCTCCTTGGGCCTTTTGCCAAGTTCTCAAAGGGTTCCTTCAGCTGTAGAAGAAGGAATGGGACATTTTGTTCTCTATGAAATCATGTACAAACACGGATGCCTACGYACAAAGGACCAACACCTCTGTGCATGATCCTCAATCCTGACTAAACACATACGCCTAGGAAGCCGCTTCACAAGCCACAGACTCAGCTCCTGCTACCTGAAGCCCTAGTGCACTGAATTCCCATACACCTGGGTGAACACTCACTTGCATACAAACAGACTGTACAGCTGTATGCTTTTTACCTACAGGTGAGCCAAACTGGGCGGAGCGTCAGAAGCCCTCTTCTTCCTCCTCCTCCCCAGCTCCCTTCCCCAACTCTCCTTCCCATTGGCCACCGTGAGCCAATCCTACTTTTCTCTCCACCCCCACAGTGATTTTCCATTTCAAGGCTGGAGGCAAACAGTACATGAACCCAAGTTGGCTTCTACCTCTTTTTCCTTCCCTGGTCTCCCACCCCTCAATTCCTCAATGTGCCTTCCGTTTGTCCAGAGCACACACACCACCCTCTATTCCCTTCTCAGACTCCACTCCCCTGGCTGCAGAGAGTGAGGGTTCTTGGGTTTTTATTGTTTGGAACTGAGTGATAGGGAAGCATGAGACCTGAGAGATGAGTTGAGTTTCAGCTCAGATCCAGTGACAAGCTGGGTGGTTGGGACTCTGGGTTGATTGGGCACAGTGTTACTCGTCTAGGGGAATCACAAACAGGAGGGTGATGTGACATTCATCCATTCATTCAACAAATATTTATTCAGCACCTTCAACATGCCAATCACTACAAGAACAAAACCAACAAAAATCTGCTTCTGTGCAGTGTACATTCTATGGGTGGAGACAGAAAATAAATAAAACATATTTGGTGTCAGGTAATAAATGAAATCAGGGGAAAAGGATAGGATACAGGCTAAGGGTGGAGTATGCAATTTTAAATAGGGTGATTAGGACATTTGAAGGAGATAAAGGCGTGAGCCATGGTGAGACCTGGAGGAGACTGTTCTAGTTAGCTGGGGCAGGCCAATAAGTGCAGTATTATCAAACGCCAGTGTGGAAAGCCAAGGAGAATGGGGTGCTAGGAGATGGCAAGAAGAGGGGATGCTATACAGAGAGCTCTTTCTCCTATTCACACTGCCGGGACCCAGTCTGGGCTCCAGGGCCTGAAGGAGTAGCTCGAGAAGTAAGGAGGTCAAATCATAGATGAAACTGTGACCTCAGGTTTCACAGTTTTGTTTTTTTTTTTTTTTTTTTTTTTTTTGCTAAAAAGTAAACAAAACAACACAAAAACTTGGAGAGGCCAAAAGAAAGTCACAGAACCCACCGAATGTATCAAGAGGAGGCATGAAGATTCTTCGCAAAACTTGGCAGGTAGATAGAGGTTGCAGCCAGAAGGGAGATAAGTACCTCTGAAAGCCAGTTTGCCTTGAAAATGTTATTGTAGGAGTGTAGATAGGTCTACTCAAAGCATCTTTGACCCCATTCAGTAGAGCAGGGGTGATAGGTCCTGGCATCAGCTCTCTCCCAGCTGACTGTCCACACAAACCCCACCTTTATTCCCCCATGCTTCTTGAGCACTTATTACGTGCTAGCATTCACTATTCAAAGTGCTGGCCACACGGATTGCATGTGATTTTCACGGCAGGTTTATGAGGCATTATTTTCTTTAGTTTACAGATGAACCCCACTCCAACACCTTTCATCCCCCAGTCCCTCCAAAGCTCCACTTCTGGCTAAGCCTGGAATTGCACAGGCTCAGCTGGACCTTCAGTCAGGTGGACCTGGGATAAATTCCTGATTCTCTGCTTAATTGTGGTGTGGTCTTTGGCAAGTTTCTTGTCCTCTCTGAGACCTATGTCTTCATCTGGGGATAAAATAGGGGCAATAATAATATGGTGACATCCACTTCACACTTTTGTGAGAATCTGCTAAGAGATGGCTAAGGGTTAGCACTGGGACATACCACGTCAGAAAACTGTTAAGTGTGTGACCAATAAATGTACAGCTATAAACAGTTAAATCAGAGAAAGTTGAAACTTGGGGAGGGGGGATAAATATCAGTGAGTTCAGTGTTTTCTCTGCAATGACATCCCTCTCTCCCACTGGCATTCCCCCGAGGCCTTCCTAAATGGTAGATAAAGGGGTGGAGTGATAGCTAATCCCCTGGGAAGTTGCACACAGGCTGCAGCCTATCTTATCTGTGCCACAGCCCATGGGAGAGCAGCAAGCAAGCACATACCAACTTTCCCACAGTGTGGTGTCAGGAGAAGGCTGAGATCCAAGGACCGTGGTATGGTAGCACATAGTAGGTGCTACTCAGAAGAGGTAGCCAGAGTGAGGCAGGGGAGTGTGTGGGTGGGGTGGAGAATACAAGTTCTCTGCTTACGAACCCTGCAAAATCTATCATGCTCAGGCACCATGTTGTGTCTTTCTCCTCCAAGGAGAGAGAAATACCCAAAACAGGGCAGGGGGAAAAGGATGAGGGTGGGCAGGTCCCTGAGGCTGGCTGATGGAGGGGGGGGGGCCCTAATACAAGAGCCCAACCCAGGGTCCCTCAARTTCTCCCTGGGAAGACAGCAGGTCTGATGAGCATAGCTCGGGGGTAAGGTAACACTTGGGGATTGAAACTGTGCGTGCAACATTCTTGCCCAGGTGGAACTGAGGACTGGAGGCAAGTTTGACCCAAAGTTGATTATCTGGGTCCGAGGCCACCTGGCTAGGCTTTCCCCAGAACGTAGCTCACAGGTGGCTGCCTGGGATAGATCAAGGTCTCTTCCCATTAGCCACCACCACCAATTCATTCTTGTTCATTTCCCAGGTCCACTTCCCCTTCATGGCTGCAGCCCCCACCTTAGCCTCCAACCTGGTGGTGACCTACTCCAACCCAGGCCACCTGAACCCCGAGGCTGCCTGAGGGGCCTCCCACCTGGAGACAGCTGCACTGGCCAGGACTCAAGGGCTGCGCCAACCCCCTACACCTTCCTGCAGGGGCTCAGAAGCTGATCGGGCTGCAGGGGTGGGCCCAGCTGGAGGCACCAGGAAGGACTGCCCAGTTCATCAGTTGGGCGGGCCTCACCTTCCTGTGAATACTGCCCACGCCGTTCTGCATTATGGCTCTCAGCCCAAGGACAGCTGTGAGGTYCTATCCCTTCTCAATCCCAGCCCGCCTGTCCCTAACCAAGAACAAAAGAGGATGGGGGAGGCACCTGTAGATAGAGCTCAGCACAGCAGTCTTTTATCTCTGCCCTCTCCCCTGTACCGTTCTCTGCACATTGCCCAGTATTCCTCCCTTCCCCACAGTGGGCACAATGGCCCTAGACACAGCCAGAGTCCATCCAAAAAACACTGGGATTCTTTATTTAAATCAGCCAACTCGTATTTCTCAAGCCCCACACCATGGTGGGCAGCCCTCCCTCCTCTGTCCCTTCAACCCCACCCCTCGGCCACATAGAGGGGAGTGGAAAATAAAAAGCCAAGAGGACCTCTGCTAAAGAAGGCTGCCCCAGATGTGCCGTGAGTACAGCCCAGCTGTGGCTCGGGTGGCAGTGGCCGCAGGCCCCTCCCTATAAATTAARTCCCCGCAGCCACAGCTGTGGGAGAAGCATACTTGTGGAAGGATGGCCAGTCCAGCGTCGGGCCAGAGGGCAGCATCCCTGACTTCCAGCCAAGGAACGGACTGAGAGGGCAGAACTCAGGGTCAGGAGAGGTCAGAGGCAAGGAGGAGAGGCCTAGCGGGGAGAGGGAGATTTACCCCCGCCCCCAGAATTTGGTCCCAGGGAGAAGTCGATCCAGTTTTGATGGGGRTGGGGAAGGAGTGTATTAGTAAGCGCAGGAAGAGAGGCAGCCAACAGGACAGGTTGGATCCCCACCCTGGCAGAGAGGAGCTGAAGGTCTCCAGGGGCTCTCGAGGAATGTCACTGCTAAAATATACAAATACATATATATTAACGGTTCACAGGAGGACAGGAGCAGGGTGGGATCAGAGGATCTGGCGTGGCATTCCGTAGCCGGTCATGCCTGCCTGAGACGCCCCACGGTTGGTACCCATCTGTAACCCAATCACGTTCTTGCCCTCTTGCAGCTGGTTGTCCGAGAAGTTCCGAGGGTTCTCCTTGGATTTCCTGGATGGGGAGGGGAATGCTGGTTGGAAGGAAGCCAGAGGCTGCCCCAGTACAGCTCTTCCCTGAACAGAGAGCGCAGGCCCCGGAGTGGGCTCAAGGGCTGGCACTGACTCTGCCCTTGAGGTCCTTGAGCTGCCCGAAGCCACCTGCTCACCTCTCCAAAGGGACAGTCACTTACCACCCCAGGGAGCTGTAAGGATGGAGTAAGATAGGAAAGTGCTTTGTTGTTTTGGTTTTGTGGCTACTTTTTGAGGACTAGGGATTGAATCCAGGGGCGCTCCATCACTGAGAAACCAGCCCTCTTGATTGTTTTTTATTTTGAGGCAGGGTCTCAAAGTGGCAGGAGCTAGCCTCCAACTTGCAATCTTGCTGCCACAGAGCCATCAAATATTTCCTAGGAAAAGGAAGGGGCAGGGCTCTACGGCTCCCTTAGCAATACTTACTTAGGAAACCAATTGGGATCCCCAGCAAAGAACCCATCATCCCGGGCTACCGCCAGCCCACCCAGGTTCATCAGCGTCCGCTGCACACACGCCATGTTCTTTCCTGGAAAGATGAACATATTGGCTCAGCAGGGCTGAGATCCTGGATGACAGGGTTCCTCCTCGCTCACTAAGCCAGGCCTGGCTTCCAAACTCGTTTTACTCTTTGTTCCCATTCCAAGCCCCAACATGGCCAACTCCTCCATGAAACACATACGCACACTTATGCGCACACCCACCCACCCACACACACACACAAACCCTTCTTTGTCTTCAAAAAGCTCAAAATTTGTTCCTTCTCTCTGGTTGAAATGTCCTGGAGGACAGCCCCCAGGCCCTCGCCCACCTTCCCAGAGGTCCACCGTTTGGAAGATGTCAGTGGTGTTGATTCCATAGCGCTCGGCTGCCTGCAGGAACTGAGAGATCTGCTCCATCTGCTTGAAGGCCATGGTGGAGGCCTGGATCTTCTTCACGGGGGCCTGCCCTTCTGGGTATAGTCCATTAATAAGCTCACACAGCACCTGAGTGGGGACAGCAGGTATCCAGAGGTGAGGATACGCCAACTTCAGATCAGCAGGTACAACCCTCGGCACTAGAGAGAGTGAGCCAGAGAGGTTCCTTCACCTGGAGCAAGCCTCAGGGTCCCTCTTGCCCAGCACACTGCCTCGCAGCCCAGAGTGTATGGCTAGTGTCTAGTCTTTCCTTGTTACACCAGTATCACTGCCTAGAGCCTACCCTCCCACAGTTCTTTCTCAGCGCTATTCTTCCTTGATGTCACCTACATACAGCCTTCTTCAGGGTGGAGGAGGCACATACACTCTTTATCTTCCCTCTGTGTAGAGGGAAGAAAGCGTGGGTCCTCTCATCCTTGATAAAAAATATTCAGGCCAAGGAAGACCTTGGGCCTGCATGCCCTCATTCTTTCCTTCTTCGGTTTCTTAATCCTAAATCCCCCGAGACCCCGTCCTGCTCTCCCTGCATCTCCAATCCAGTAGGGCACAGCTCTCACCGTGCCATCCTTGAGCCAGATCTGGAAGTTTTCACGTCCAGGCTGGGGTCGACCCACGTCCTTGCGGCACTGGCTGGTGATCCACTGGATCAGGATCTGCTCCAGGTCAGCGTCGTACTGTTTCTCTATCTTCTGCTGCACCTCCCGGCTCAGGCCATATGTAGGTCCCCTGTTGGCCATTCTGAACAGCTGTGGTGGCTACAGGAAGCTAGTAAAAGGACAAAAGCAGGCCCGTGGTCAATACTGTGTACACACACACACACACACACACACACACACACACACACGGTGGAGGATTCTGCCTGAGGAGACAGACACCCTAGTCTCCAGGGGGAGCCCATGGTTGAGAAATAGAACTGCTGCCTTATAAAGGAAGCTTCACCTTGACCCCTAGACGTAGATGTGGGCTAGAGTAGAACTTCTCAGAACTCTGGGAAATGTGGGGCCTCATGGACAATCTCTGGATTCCCCCCAGACCACGATAAGCAGTCTGTCTATTATATTGAGCATTGCCACTCAATTTCATTTGAACAAACGGTTCTCTTACTGGAATGAAGCATAAGACCCACTGGAATAGAATATGGGGTAAACGATTGGGAGGTACAGATCCTCATTGGGGATGGTCAGCTTTTGCAAAAGCAAACTGCACAATTCAGATCACATGTATTAGGAATTAACAGAAGATGATGGGCAGAAGCAGTCTGGGAGGGCTTGCTGAAAGAGGGAGGCAGATTTTAGCAGGCAAAGGGATCATCCTGAGAAACCATGCAATCAAAACAAATTCTCCTTTCCCTTCCAGGAGCTGTGGTGGGCCGAATAATGACTCCCAAAGGGTGTCCATGTCCTAATTCTCAGTACTTGTGGATCTTGGGATGGGGAGATTATCCTAGATCATCCCAGTGAACCCAATGTCCTAAACAAGGATCTTTAGTAAGTGAAAGAGGCAGGTCATGAATATGCAATGCAGGTGGTGGCTAGAAGCCAGAAAAGGTAAGGAAACTGAATCTACCCTCATCCCCTCAGAAAGAATGCAGCCTTGCTACCCCTGGATCTTAGTAAGATTCCTGTTGGGGTTTCTAAAGATACTACATGTTTGTCACTAAGTTTGTCGTAGTTTGTTACAGTAGCGACAGGACAGTACTGCAGGAGCCTTGGGTGGTATTTTCCGGAAAACATGGGAAGAGGGGGAAGAATGGGGAAGCACACAGAAGGGTTTCTTGAACTTTGAGGACCTTGGTTAGCAAGTACGACGTGGTTTCTGACCACTGGCCTGAGGTGGAAGCACCTTGCAGTGGGCAGCCTGCCTTCTACCACCACTTCACTGCTGAGGTCCCTCACCCAGGGGCTTGCTGAGCAAATCCTGGTGGTGCTGCTGATGCCAAGGGGAACCAGAAATAGGAAATAGACACAGACCCCCCATTTCCTGCCCCAGCACCTCCCTAGAGGGGATCCACTTTCCTCTGAAATGGAGCTGGTTGGTTGCTCACAAAAGGGGATCCCCAGGACAAGTAGGTACCTGTGCTCAAGCACAGGAAAGGGAGCCACCCCTTCTTCCCACATTTGGCTCCAGGCCAGGTCAGACTGAAGGAATGAAGTCATCCTGGCTCCCTCTCTGAAGCACCCCCAGGTTAAATAATCCCGCCACCCCCTCAATGGGCTCTGATGAAGAACAAGGAGCCAGGCTGCCTCAGAGAGCTTCATACCCCTCAGCCCCAGAGGTTGTGCGTCTCAGGACGGACCCTTCCCCCACCTAACAATATGGCTGCTCCCTTCTACTCCAGCTTATCGAGCTGCACATTTCCGGCAGAAATCCTCCCCATAAATCAGTTATTTTTAAACCTCATTAAGAGTGACCCAGCCCCCACTTCCCCCGGCCTGCAAGCTGGGCCAGATAAATGTCAGTCTGGGTCTTAACCCACACCACCAGAGCCCTACACACAATCAGCTGAGGGAAGGCAGGCGGGTGGCATGGCTGGGTCTCAAGAGGAAGAGACAAGATTCCCACCACCCAGCCCAGCCCAGCCCAGCTGCTCAGCCACCACTCGGTCTCTAAAAGCCTGTAACTTGTGTCCACAGAGGAGGAGCTGGAAGACTGTAGGGAGAGGAGGGGGCTAAGGGTTACTATCATTAGCAAACCCCCTTTTCCCAGTCCAACTTCCAGACCTCTTTTTTTGGGGGGGGCAGCTTCTCTAGGTCACCTGGCTCTCAGGGCTGTTTCTAGAGAGCCAATCAACCTGAGGTTCAGAGAGCACTTTAGCACAGGTACATAAAGGGCAGGAGAATCATTAACCCGGACATCAGAGTTAAGAGGGAAGAGAAGGACCCCAAACCTTCCGGTGTCCCCCACAACATAGCCACCCAGACCTACCTCAGGGTGAAGGGTGAATGTTTAGGGCCCCTCCCTAATTCTGGGGCCTGGACACAGCTGGCGGGGTCCCGGGCTCCAGCTGTAGTGTCTCTGCTCCACTCTGGGTCCATTGCCCTATAGCCCCGGGGTGCCAGAGCCACAGGGTAGAGTTTTGGGAAGGAGAAGTCCCAGCTAGGCCCAGCCAGGCCAGCAGCTGTTCCTCTTCCCCACCCTACTTAGACAGGCAGCAGCTGATGGGCTGCGGCTGCTGCCGCTGAAGAGGCCCACCCTAGGTAGGGACACCCCGGGGACCTACCTGTGCCCTCTCTCAAAAGAAGGGAAAACATCAAGTCTCCCATCAGGGCRGAGAAGAGAGAGGCCCAGCTGGAAGCCAGGTATGGAGATACCCAGAGCTAGGGAAAAGGAAGGCAACAGCTGAACAACTTGGGCAGTGGGTGGACAGTGAGTCCCTATAGAGCTGACTGCAGCCGTGGCAACAACTCTCCCCCCACCCACCCACAATGTTACAATAGTGGGGAAACTGAGAAGGGCCACCAAAGGCAAGCCAGCCCCAGCCCCAGTCCCACCCAGAACCCCAGGGCTTGGAGCTCACCTCACCCTACTAAAGGCCCAGGCTGAAGGAAAGGGGAACACCTTCCTGGTCTGGGGTGGGGGTGGGGGATTTCAGAGTTTCCGACTGGGGCGTTAAATTGGGAAGACAAAGGGACTCTCCATTGACTGCACAGATGGAATACCAAGGAACTTCCCAGCTCAGATTTGGGGTTGGGACTATTCCGAAAGAGAGATGCCACAGAAAGACAGTGGGAGGACTGTGGTTAAAGGGCAGCTTTAGGGCAACCCCCAACCCAAGGGGCAGCCCCCTCACCACCTAGAGTCCTAAGCAGAAGAGAAAGCTGAAGTTATACAAACAGGAAGCCACAGGCTTGCTCCAGAGGAGGGGAGGAGGTAGAGGCTAGGCCGTTGCTATGGTTTCTGTGTACCAAACACTGGAGGCAGGGTGGGGGCACCAGGAACACCCATTCCACAGACTTCATGGTGAAGAGACTCTTGAGCACAGGGGCACAAAGTGGGATCTTCACAGCAGCTCTTGGGGACAGTTAGATGCCAGGGACTCCTCAAGAAGGTGGCTGCAGAGGGTGTAGAGAGCATTTGGAGATGGCAAGTCACCAGTTTGGGATAGAGAAGCAGGTTCAAGGTAATTCAGAAGAACCATACAGGGGAGGCAAGGTGAGTTCTGAGATAGCCCCCATAGTTGAAAATCCTAGAATGCAAAGGAATGGAATGAAGAAAGGATTAGAGGCCAATCCCCAGGGGGGCAGAGGCCATGGTGGGGGGGCGCATGGACAAAGACTATTYGTTGGTTCTGAAATGGTAGCGTTCTGCTGGCCCCGCCCTACCTTGGCCTCCTCAGCAGTTTGAGGTTTGCGGGTTAAGTAATGAGAAATTGGGAGGGGGATTGGAGGTTGGAGATGGGGAGATGTCCCTGACTGGTGCTCTGAGTCACAGGCAGAACCGGGGGGAACCCATCCACACCAAAGGTCTCCTCCAGCACCGCATCTCCACATTCGATCCCCGTTTCTTTTTGCCCCACTTGATGCCGTGATCCCCCAGAACCTCCGGGTACAGTCTCCTGGAGGCCTGCGGAGTTGGGGAAGGTAGCATGCCACTTCCGGTCCTATAGGTCCAGCCCCTTGCAGCCGCCGCCCCCACCCCCACAGCCACACCCTGGGCCGTTACTGAGGATGAGTCACCCACCGCCCGGCCCGCCACTGGGGTGACGCAGTGGTCTGGGAAGCCCGCCCGCAGCCCGCGGCTACCACCGGCTTTCCCAGCAGCAGGGGGCAGGGGAGGGGGCGGCGGTTGGACTCAGGCCAGGCTCGGAGGGCCTGGAGAGCAGCCATTCTCCCACACCGCCCCCCCCAAAAAAGTCAGGGCACTCAGGGGCGCCATCAGGGCAGCACCCCCCAAATTGCCTGAGGTCGAAGAAGTCTCCTGGAGACGACTGGAGCTTCACAGATGGCGAGGCCACTGGGACCCACGCGCCGAGACCCCCGGCCCCAACCCATGCTCCGAGTCCCCAGAAAAGCGAGTCAGCAACAGGTACAGGAAAGATGGCCTGAGGTCGCCGTGGGCAGGCAGTGGCCACACGTGCTCCAGGAACCAGGAAGTGAAGGGTCACGCGTGAAGACCCGGGAGCGCTGAGCTAGAGCGAGGTGAGCGCCAGAGCCTGGACGCTCCGCCGGCCGCGGCCAGCCAGCGAACATCCGACGCCCTCGTTGCATCCTCCCAACCCGGACGCGGCGCGGGAGCCAGAGGGTGGGGCTTGGTGCCTGAGCCCCGGCTCCAGGCGGACGCCCCGTCTAAGCACTAGCATATCTCGCCTGATCTCATCGCCCAGCAATGCCCGGTCAGGACACGGGGACCTGACAGCGCGGGGCGGGGCAGAGCAGTCTTCGGACCCTGCCTGGGCTCCAACCCGAGATCCCCAAGATCCCTGGAGCAARTTATAGGTTCTGGCTTGTTGCTTTCTAGATACCACGTATCTAGTGCCCCCCGCCTTGGTCCCCGGGTCCTGCTCACCGTCCAAGAGGGCGGGATAACGACACGCACGGCAGGGGCTGCAGCGGCGAGTGGTGCGCCAGGGCTGGCTGGCCAGAGGTTTTTCTGGAGGGTCCCGCCTCAGACGGGGCGGACCGGGGGCGGGGCAAGGGCCAAGAGGGTTTAAAGGCGCCACAGCGAACTAGCCAAGAGAAATGCTTGAGAAAGAGACCAGCAGTGGGCTTGATGGAGAGTTAAAGGATCTGGAGAATCTAGGGTGTAGCTGTCGTGGTCTCCACCCATGAAACACTGCATTTCCACCCAGGAACCTATAGACTTGAGTCCCAGTAGGAGACCTGCCCATATTAGTTTAAGACTGGCGGCGTCTTTATGGGGGAAAGAAGCCTCCTGTTTTAAAGAGACTTGGCAAGGTAAATGGAGGCACAAGACCCCCACACTGCGCCCAACTGACTAGGGTGTGACAAGACAGGCTTGCAGGCTAGGACAGCATCCCCACGTGGTCTTGCTTGCCACCTGCTTCAAGCCTGGGCAGAGACTAACAGTGAGGTCACTCCTTGCCTGGGGCCCAAGGGGTGTGGTCCGAACTGAGACCTGGATTCGGACCTCATCTCTCTCACTCTTTCAGCTCCTCCTCTATGATTGTTTTTTGTATCTCTTCCTAAATCCTGAAGAAACTAGGAGAGGGCTCAGTGGAGGAGGTTGGCAAAGGGCTCCTCTGTCTCTTAGGCTGAAGGGCGGCATGGTTTAGGGATCCAAAGATTACCTCCCACTCTTTCAGGATCCTATTGAGCTAAGTACCCCTGGGTACACTTTCCTGCTTACAATTACCAGTAGAGTATTTTTCGGTTTTTGTTTTTGCAATGCTGGGGATGGAAAAACAGGCCCTTGCAGATGATAGGCAAGCACCACACTCCCAGCCCAGTGGACTTCTTCACCTACGGTAGAGTCCCCTGTTAAGCCTGAAATTCAAAGACATCTACAACCACCAAAGACATCCCCTCGACCTTTCTGTTCTCTATCCCCTCCCTGTTCTGCCCAGATTCATGGAGTGGGAGAGTTTTCATTCCTTGTGCCTTTACAAAGGCTATGCCTCTGCTTGGGATGCTTTTCCTTCCCCGATTGTCATCTCTCCTGCTCTGGCCCCTTACCTGCTGTGTGACTTTTGGGAAAATTACTAAAGCACTCTATGCTTCTGTTCCCTATCTGGGAAACAAGCTAACTGTGCTACCTGACTCACAGAGCTGTAAAGGATTAAGCAGTGCTTRTGAAAAGCTTAGAGCGGTGCCCAGCACACAGTGAATGCTATTATCACTATTACCACCTTCTGCAAGGATCCCCAAACTCCCCCATATGTAGCATTTGTCCCGGAACACACTGTGAGCTTTCTCTAAATGTCAACTCCAACTGAACTCATTTCTTTGTTCTACATAATAAGCAACACATAGTTTTATCACAGAACTTATCACATCATACTGTAACTATTTCTTGACTTGTTTGCCTCCCTGGGTGGAAAGAACTCCCCAAGGGCAAAGCCTCCTCTTCAGGAAACTTTGTATTTTCTCACAGCTTCTAACTTAATGGCTAGTCTTTAGTGGCTAACCTTAGTAGCTGAATGTACCCCATTCATTCAGAGAGAGTCCCTTTTTCTTTGAGGGTTCAGGAATTTCAATCTTAGATTGAAAGTGAAATAACATCAAAACATTTTTCAGATTTTCTTTATTCATCTGTAAAAAACTTCATTCACACCACAAATAAAACACACACACACACACACACACACACACACACACACACACGAGGGCAGACTAAGATCCCTGCTTCAATCCCAGGATTCACCTAGGGGGTTAGCACATACATCTCATACAAAGCTCCCCCAAGCCCCTCATCAGGGTCAGTGCCCGAGCACCAAAGGGGCAGGGAAGGTGCCCGTGTTTGGAGCTAGGTCTCATTGGGGGCCTCCTTTGCAGGTCCATAGGCTTTTTGTCCAGCCTCACATGAGTGGTGTTCACAGCAGAGTGGCCTGTTCAGGGTGGGCAACTGGCTGTCGAAAGGCTGGTAGCCGGGCCCTAGTGGCATCTCGGCGGCGGCGGAAGGCTAGGAATTCCTCCCGCAGGGCAGCACAGCGGGCTTCAGGGCCGGGAACTTGGGCAGTGTTCAGGAGGCAGCCCTCCTCTGGAGTCTTTCCACCTGCAAGAGAAGATAAGGGGCAGGACAATGAGACAAGAGGCCTTGAGGTTCAGTGGAGGAAGGGCCAGATGTGGAGCTCTAAAGGGCCTTTTGGTGCAGATGAGTCAAGGAAGCAAAGACACAGTCTGTGGCAGAGGAGCCTGGGATACAGGGCCTGTCTGTGCAGACGAGTCCTAAGGCGGCAGGGGCAATGTGGGACAGTGCCGAAGGCCTATCTTTCTGGGGATTCACACACCAAGCTCTGGCTCAGCTTCAGGTTGTGGCCGGGAGCTGGCCAGCCCAAGGTGCAAAGTCTCCAGCAATTCCATGTCTCCAGGGTACTCTGAGTCCCACTCATAGTTCTCATCCACAGATGTGTTCCTCCTGTTAAAAGGGACAAACATGTGGTAGGGTGGAGTAACAGTGGGTATCCAAAAATGTCTAAACCCAGGGTCCCCAAACTCAGGTTGGGCCATAGGTTTTCTCTGCAAATCCCTGGACCTCAGAAAGAGGTTCTGAAAGGAGACAGGTTCTCCTGGTCCCAGAGTGGAGTGGAGCAGGGAAGGCATAGGGTATTGGGTGGGGGGAAATGTGGGACAAGAGGACAGGACTGYGGTCAGGGCAAGGATGGGCAGGAACCTCCCTCACCTCTTGCTGACGGTCACCACATGCTCCCTTCGGGGCCACCTCTCAGGTCCACTGGCCCAGCTGCTGGTGTCTCCTGGAGCTGGGCTGAGGTAGCTGCCCCCTGCAGAGGGGGCTGAGGAGGGAGGCCGGAGGAAGGAAGCACTGCCCCGCCCACTGCTCTGGCTGGTCAAGCTGCCCCGAGGGGCAGCAGGGAAAAGGCCTGGAAGTAACCGCTCTCTCAGTGTCCAGTCAGTTGTGTAAGGGGACTCTGAAGTGGCCCCAACTCCTACCAGAGCCCCGGGAAGTGCTGCCCTGGAGGATACAGTAGGGGAGTCCGGAGTGCCAAGGAAAGAYGCGGTGTGGCAGGGCCGCGTATCCACGTAATCTGGGGGTGGCACAGGGACAGGCTCCTCAAGAGGGGGCCAGTCCCCATCCACATTCATCTCCCGGAAGAAGGGCAGGCTCAGGTACTGGAGAAGGGGTCCAGGACCTGGCAGGGGACTTGGGGGAGCTGCTGGAGGAGACCCCACGGGGCTGATGTCTGCAATACAGAGGGGCTGGGGTGCCCCACTGGGGCTGCTGCTACTACAGTCAAAGGACCGAGCCAGACGCTGGGCTGAGGTCCTAGGTTCTGCCCGCTCCAGGTCTGACCTTTCTTGGGGGGCCCCCACAGTGGGTCCCATCACAAAGCGCCCATCTGGGCCCCGGCAAATGGGTTCCAGGGGTAAGGGTCCCCGGTTGGGTGGAGGATCCGGATGGGGGCTGGGGGGCCGGGCAGGCTCTCCCCAGAGCAGACTCTGGCGCAGGCTAGAGAGAGGGGAGCCCTGGAGCTTCAGCTTGGCCACGCTGTCAGGGCTGCTGGAGCCTGGAGCAGAGCTGGGGAAGGACAGGAGATCAGGGTCTGGTCTTGAGAGGTTTGGTGCACAACAAAGCAGAGCTAGGGAGAGCAAGTGAGGAAAGGACCAACATGGTGGAGGGGTGGAGGGAAGGCCCAGGCAACACTGGACCCGCCTCCAGGCTGGGGCTTCTGCATTCCTGTTGTCACCTCCCTCCAACTTCTGCTCCTGGTCCTCCCATCTCTCCCAAAGATACAAAAGAGGAAGCAGAGGATACTGTCCAGTACAAGGAGAAGACAAAGGGAAGTCAATGAGTGGAGGAACTTACTGTGGGGCTGACTTTCTGGGCGGAGAGAAGATAAGAGGTGGATCTGTAAGGGTGTGAGAACAGGAGGTGATACAGGCAAAACACAAGCCCCTCCGGGGCCCCAGGTGCTGACCCTCTCACCCAACACCAGTCGCCCAACCCAACCCCATCTAGCWGGAAAAGAGCAGGCAAGACGGGGTGCAGGGTTATGGGAATGCATGGGGAGGGGTTGTCCTCCTGGTGGGAAGGACTTCSGGAGGGGCAGGCCCTTCAGGTGGGCTGAACTTCAAGTGGCCAAGTGCTCTGCACCCACAAGACTGAGGGTGGAGGGTACCTACCCTGACGGAGGCGTTTGCGTCTGCGGCGGGCAGCCCTGCGCCGGTTCATGAGGCAGGCAGCCAGGATGCTCACCAGGACGGCCACRCCCAGGAAGCAGACCCCACCCACCACACCCGCCAGCACAGGTTGGGGCAGCAGGCCTGGCAGTTGCGTGCGAGATGGGTATACCTCCAGGCCTGGGTGAAGAGCCAAGAGGGAGGGTCAGTGAGCTCCGAGTTCCTGCAACCCCCCAGCTCCCTTCTCCCCCGGCAGGTTCTCACCTGAAGTGGAGACGTTGGCAGTGTTGCTGGGATCRCTGACATAGCTACCGGCAAAGGCCACGAGGCGGAACTCATAGAGAACATCCTGGGGGTGGGGATGGGGTGCCAGGAGGCGGATCAGGCCCCGGATCACCCATTTCAGCCCCATTGGTAAAGACTTTGCAGTTGGGGGGGTAAGGATGAGGTGAGGAAGAGAGGTGAAGATGGTCATATAAGGTAAGATAAGAAGTTGGGGGATGGAGCAGGACACTGGCCAGCCCCTGGGAGGACCCTCACTGTACCATCCAGCACAYACCTTGATGAGGCCTGGCACCAGCAGCTGCATCTCCGTGCCTGCCACAGCTCGGTCCAGCACCTCCCAGCCCTGGGAGCCTTGCCGTCCTTCCAGGACATAGCCGTCCAGTCTCTTGGGGACCAATTCCGGGGGATCCCAATGCAGGAGTACCCCTCGGGGTGTCCTCACTGCCACCAGACTTCGGGGAGGRGACAGGGGAGGCAGCATCTCTGTYGGGGGCGGCCTGGGGGCAGCCGGTGTGGTAGGAAGCCCTGATTGGGGCAGATAGGCAGTTCAGGGATAGGATTCCCAGCATCCCTCATCCTGCCCCTGCCCTGGCCTTCCACAGCCTTAAGATACCCGACCATTCTGCCTGAGCCCTTCCACACCCCACTCCAGACCCCAAACTTCCCAACACCACCTTTGCCGCCTCCCCATCCCCAGGTCCCTTCCATGTCTTGGTTTTCCCTCCCAGCCCTTCTCCAYCGTAGTCTCTGCTACTCTGGAACGTGAGCTCTCTCACCTTCTGGAGCAGACAAGACGATCTCACTGAAAGGCCCACTCCCCAGCTTGTTCTGAGCCAGGACGCTGAACTGGTACTGGGTGTAGGGCTGCAGGCCAGGCACGAGGAGGTGGGCCTCCCCCACAGGGACTGCCAGGGACAGCCAGTCGTGATGGGCTCGGTCAGGACGCTTGGCCCTGGGGCACAAGGGGACATGGGGAGCATCTCATGAACTAGGAAGTCCAGGAAGGTTTGGGGTCCAGAGATCTGACCTCCACCCTCACTTCAAATATCCAAGGTCTGAAGACCTGGGCCCCAAACACCCAAGAGTCACTGGAAATAGGATCAGCAGAGCTAGTTCATAACCAGGGACAGAAGAATGGGAGAAAAAGCAAACAGAGGTAGGCCGTTGTAGTTCACTTACAATGGGGTATACCAGACGCTGAATCTCTGCAGATAGCCACCATCAAAACCAGGCTCCCAGGAGACATTGGCACCCTTGGGCAAAGGCACCACAGAAACATTGGTGACAACGTGGGGGCTGGTGCCTGGAGAGGGAGGATGGTCAGGATCTTCAAAGAGCGTGAAAAGCTTGGGGGAGGCTCCTTTGAACCCCCACCCATCATTTCAAGGGTCCCCCACCCACCATCCCCCATCTGAGCCTCAAAAAAATGACTCCCCTGTCTCCCCTTCCACATAGTTTCCCCCCAGCTCCAGCCCATTCCACCACTAACCCAGCACGTAGACATTGGTGGTAGCAGCCACTCGTGCTACAGAATTGCTGGCACTACATTCCCAGCGCCCGTGGGCCTCCTTGGTCAGTGGTCGAAGAATGAGGCTGCTATTGCGGTCCACCTGGGCCTGGCCCCGTAGTCCCCGGCCCACCTACAGAACCACTGGTCAGCCCTGAGGACACACGCAGCCAAAGGGGCCACTCATCTCTCTAGGCTGCTTGTGTCCTCCCCACCCTGCCTCTGACAGCCAGCTCCCTCCCACAAAATGTCCAGGGGCACAGAGGCAGGGGAATCCAGGAAAAGCAAGAGTCAGGAGCCTTACCTTAACCCAAGAGACAGTAGGAGGAGGGTCTCCTCTAGCAGAGCAGGGAATGAGGAGCTCCCGCCCAACTTCTTGGAAATATTCTTCCTTGGGGCGTTCTATAAAAGCTGGGGGAGCCTGCAGGCCAGATCTATATTAGGAGGGATTTCTCTTCCATAGGTCTGAGGTTAGGTACTCCCTGCCTCCAGGTTCCCTGCCACGCCCTATCTCCATCTCCATCTCATTCCTTCTCCACCTCTCAATTTCTGTCTAGCACACACACACACACATTCACTCTTTCTCTCTCTCTCACTCTCTCTGTGTTCCCCAGCAGGTAGGGTTGAGGGGAAATGGTGTGATAGATAAGGACTGGTGGCCAGGCAAGACTCTCTGGAGACGTACAAACCCCTGCAGGGAGGGCCCTGCAGCTCCGGAAAGGGAGGCAGCCTGGTTAAGATGGGTGAAAGGTGGAGCAGACAGATATCTCATTTTGTGAATGTGGTGCAAAGTTGATGGACCACTTCCCAGCACCATTTTGCAAAAACCTGTGGGTTGCATCTGACCACTGCTGCTATGGCCACCAGGGAAACAGGGACTTGAAAGCCCCTTCCCACATATCTGCCCTACCTCCCATCCCATCAGCCTGGCCTTCACTCACATCTTCAGCTACCTGAGCCACTCCTGCTGCAGGCTCTGGGGATCTACCCTGGGCCTCACCTTGAGCAGCACACGGGTCACAGGRGAGGGCCCAGCAGTACCAAGGCTGTTGTAGGGGGTACAGGAGTATTCTCCCAGGGCGTCCTCATTCCCAAGYGCAATGATCAGTGAACCTTCTGTGCCCTGGGACCAGCCAGGGAACTGGAGGGAAGAAGAGATGACAATTTCAGAAAGAAATTCAGCACAGGCAAGGTGGGGATGGTGAGGTAATACCCTGGAGAGGGACCCCACGGCTCTAAGTGTAGCCCCAACTTCTCTCTGAATTCCAAACCTCCATTCCTCTGCCACAGAAGGACCCCTGCCAATGGAGAGGAGGCTGTGACTCACAGCTCCAGGGATGCCACAGAAGACAATGAGAATGAACCCCCGGAGGTGAGTTACCCCKCGCTCCCTGCCTGCTATAATCTCATCTCCCTGTCTTCCCTAAGCTCCACCACTCACTTCAGCATAAAGCACCCCACCGCCAACCTCCTCAGTAAAATGTGACCCCTCACTTTCCCGCACCCCCCCATCCCAAAAAATTAACTGTCATCCTTTTGTGTGAGCCTGAGGGCCCATCCATCTTCCTGTCCTCCAGCTCCAACTCCGTAATCYCTTACCTGAACCATTTCTACAGCCTCACAACCCCTCTCCCTTCCACTCCGTCGGACAAACTCAACTCCTAATCTCAGCTTCAATGCTATCTCCCATTATTACTGAAAAAAACAACTTCACTGGCTCCCACTACCTTAAGACTTAAAAAAAAAAAAAAAAACCAACAATGTATTGAGTAGTACTATTGTACAAACCCTGACGTCGTGATTAAAAGATGCAAGGAATTTACAGTCTCTGCAGACAAACAAAAGATCCAATCACCCTGGGATGAGGTAATATCAAGGGCATGTGCAGTTTTTCCTTTTGGCCCCAACCTGTCTTTCCAGGTGTCTCTGCACCATGCATGTCCCTACAGGTATTGCAGCCACCACCAAACTGCCCAATTCATTATTTCATAAATGCGCTAAACCATCAAGCCTTTGGTTTCTACATGGAATGACCATCCCATCTCCAAGGCCCATCACTGAAGTCCCAGAATCCCTGGCTGATCTATCCTCAACCAGGCCTAAGGGGAAGGTACTTAACTGCATCCCGGGCCCTATTGCTGTCCCACTTCCCAAGACAGTGCCTTCCTTCAGGATTTGCTGCCGTTCCCCACCCAACACCTGCACAGCACCCAGTAAGAAGTTTAGGTTCACGGGACTGAATCAAACTGAGCTGACTCCATTCCATTTGGCCTTCTGACCAGGATCACACCAAGTCCCCCCATCCCAAGCCTGTACCTTGTCCAGCTGCAGGGCTTGCCCATCCTTTGACCAGCTGACAAAGAGCAGTGGGGGGTTGGCACGAACCGGGCACCGGATCACCCCCCGCATGCCGATGGGCAGGGGTGTCTCTGGAGGCATCATTGTCACCTGGGCTGGGTCTGGGGGAAGCAGTGACAAGTTGGGAAAGGGCTTTGGCCTGGCCCAGGGGAGGGGAGCAGCCTTGGGAAGGAAGTGGAGGTCAGACTTACAGAGCACAGTGAGGTAGGCAGAGGCCGAGGGCGGATKCGGGAGGCCATTGCTGGGCACACAGGTGTAGCGACCAGCATCATCGGGCTGGGCAGCCTGCAGTCGCAGGCTCCCATCCACCAGGATCCGCACTCGGGATTGCAGGTGGCTGCAAGGTGACACGTGTGAGGAAGGGCCTAGGCCTCGCCCAGCCAAGGGGCCCCTCAAAGACTGCTYGCCAGCTCCCCACCTCCACTGCCCCAAAGGTGGGTCAGCTCACCTAAGGTGAAAGACATTAACGCCATCCAGGAACCAGCTGTAGGTGAGGTTGGCGGGGTACGCCTCCGCCTGGCAGGCCAAGGAAACATCCTGAGAGGCATTGACTGTGCTGTTCTTGGGGGGCAGCACGATGACAGGGGGTCCTGCAGGGAACACAGGAGGAGAGAGGTGGTCTCGGCCCACAGTCTTCCCAGACTCTTRTTCTGTTACTCTTCCTTGACTCCATCCTCTGAAACAGAGGGCTCTGGGGATCTGAAAGGGAAACTTCCCCCGTGCATAACAAAAACCTCTCYCTGAGCCCAGTTCCTCTTCCCAAATTCTCCCTCTTCCCCCAGGGGTAACTTCATCCACCTGAGTGTCAGGGTGTGGGAAGAGTCCGTCTGAACTGTTCATTTACCCTTTCTTTCCCTACCCATCACATCTTAAGTCACATCCATGTCTCCTACCCTAGTCCAGACACCCCATAGCTCACCCCAAGAGGCCGCAGCCACCTGACTCCAGGTTCTCCCGTCATCGCCACGCCAATGGCCACTCATACAGAAAGGCCCCCTTCAGCCACAGAAGGCTTCTGCTCCAGAACCCACAGCAGCCCCTGATCCCTACCACATTGAGCTCGCCTTTCTTGACCTAGTCCTGTGGGTCCCATGATCTAAGCACTCCCAACCTGGCCACCCACCTTTTCATACATCAGCCCTAAAAACCATCATCAGGTCAGGTCAAGGTGACACCTCACCGGGCTCACTCCCATCTGCCTCTGCTCTCTGAACTCCTAGGGCCTGGTTCATCCGTATACCTCTTACAGAACTGTCTCTGACTGCTGCAGCCTGCTGTCGCTACCCTTCCTTGGCCCCACTGCATAGACAGACAGTAACAAGAGGTAACGATAGCAGTCCATGCATAGAGAGCACCTGCTGCAGGCCAGCACTAAGTGCCTAGCACTTTGCCTGTTCAGCTTACTGAACTCTCACAAGAACCTTTGCAGTAGAAATTACTGTCCCCCCTTTTTAGCATAATTTTTATCACTATTATAATATTATTTAATTCTGAGGATTGAACCTGGGGATACGCTACCACTGAGCTACCATCCACAGCCCTTTTTCTTTTTTCTTTGGAGACAGGGTCTCACTGAGTTGTCCAGGCTGGCCTCAAATTTGCAATCCTCCTGCCTCAGCCTCTCAAAGAACAAAGTGTGTGCCCCTGTTTCCCTTTTGTAGCTGGAAGAAATAAAGGTTCAGAGGCAAAGAGATTGTGAAGTGACTTGCCCCAGGTCCCAACGGAGTCAAGATTCATATTCAGGATTTCCTGAAGCCAGAGACTATGCCCTTAACTATTACCCGGCACTGCCTTTCTCGTGGTACCATGGAAAGCAATACTCCCACAATCCCTCAGGTTAGTCTTATTTTTCCCCATGTAGATAAAAGTCACTCTGAAGGCAGACTCCAGACTTCACATTTCCCAGCTTTCCTTCTAAAGGGAAGGTCTTAGCCAGGATTTACTATGTTCTCCGCTGAACCTAACTGAATTCTTGTCACAGTCCTGAGCAGTGGATATGAACTACCACTGAGCTACATCCCCAGCCCTTTTTATTTTTATTTTGAAAAAGGGTTGTGCCAATTTGCAGAGGCTGGCCTTGAACTGGCAGTCCTCCTGCCTCAACCTTCTGAGTAGCTGGATCACAAGTGTGTATCATTGTGCCTTATTGAGATGAGAAAACTGGGGCTCAAGAGGGTCACCTGGTTCACAGTTTGACACGGGCACCCAGGTCCTTTCTACTATTTAACACATTAATGAACACTAAGTATTTATTTGTCCATTCACTGATCCAGTTAAAATTAAGATGCTTGTTTTAGAGTAACAACCTATATTTGGAGCCCTCTCGCCCTGCACAGATCCTCCCTCAGGCAGAATCCTCCTCCCGTCCTGCTATGTGCCTTCCTAGCCATAGGTCACCTAGGTGTCCCTGGTCCCCAGCCCTCCCATCAGAGCACCTAGCACCAGCAGCTGGGTGGAGTGGGTGATGCTGCCCTCAGTGCTGGAAGCTTCGCAGGTGTAAACTCCAGAGCTGCCCCGCTCTACCCTCTGGATCCACAGTGTTCCGTTGTGCACCTAGGGAGGGAGGGAGAAAGTTCCCTTCCTGCTGGGCCAGCCTCAGAGCCTGCACTTCCCAGGATGGCCAGCAGAGGGAGGCAGAGCTTCAGGCTCAGTGAAGCCAATACCAAACCCTCCTGGGAGCCCATCTTCCAGCCCAACTTTGGCCCCCCTCTGTCCTCCAGCTCTGCTCCCACCTTCCCCTCACACTCCAGCTGGCCCACTCTGCCAGCCCAGGTACTCACTTGCACCTGACCTCGGCCCTGACCAAGGTCCTCTCCTCGGAGCTTCCAAGTCACTTGAGGTTGGGGGCTTCCCTGGGCCACACAGCGCAGGGTAACTGGCTCCAATTCCTGCACTTCCAGCACGGGAGGAGGTGTCTCCTGGAATTGAGGGGGTGCTGTGGGGAAGAAAGGCATCAGGAGCTGCCAGAGGGGTTATCAGCCCAGAGAGCAGTGTCTACGCCCAGGGAAACAAGACTACTCAGGACAGCAGCCCTCAGCCCACCCAGCTTCATGGGAATCCCAGCTCCAGGTCACCCTATCTGCTGCACTGGGGACCAGGTAAGGATTGTACCAGGCCATCCTCAAACTGGCCTGGGCTGAGCACAGACTGAATGCCCAGGGCCAGGGGGAGAGCTAAATGTTCTGGGAGTCAGTCTTGGGTCCTAGACTCAGCTCAGATAATAACCAGTGGCATCACCCATTTCTTGGTCCAAGTCTCACCTATGAAACAGAAATGATCCTAAGCTCTTCCTTTTTARGGGTGAAGGAGAATTAATGAGGCCCTAGGTGTAATGAGGTTTTGAAAACATCAAATGCTATATGTAAGTGAGCTGTTTAACTCAGGACCTAATACTGCCCTCTCCCCCATCCACTATCCTGGTCAGAGATGCATAAGGAAGGAAGAGGAAGTGGAAGTTCCTGACGTTGAGCCTAAGAGGCTGATTGGATTTAGATTTGAAGAACTGAAAGGGCAGGAATGAGGAGGGGGATAAGATGCAACCATTAAGTGAACAAATAAGGAGCGCCAGACAGGGTGGGGCACTGGAGCCGCAAGCACGCACGTCCCTCTTCCCCTTCTAACATCATCTAGGGTCCCCATCATTCTCCTCCCCTCCCATCTCCACCACCTGCTCCCCAGCTTCATACAATTGACTGTCAGGTGCACCCAGGAGCCGTTGGCAAAATCCTCTTCAGGGCTGTGCTGATCCAGGAAGAGCACGCGGCACTCGTACCAGCCCTGGTCCTCCACTCGGAGCCCCTCGATCCGGAGAGATGCTCCTGTCTGCAGTCGGACTCGTCCTGGGGAAAAGCCCTGAATCAAGTTGTTGAAGAGACCCCACAGGAGCCTCCAAACCCTAGTCACACTGGCCATTTCCAGAGGTCAAGAACAGTCTGTCTCTCTGTCACTCTGAGAGAGCAGGGTCTGCAGAGGCACAGATGGGATTAGGGTCATGAGGGCAGGTCCCTTTGTTCAACTTCTGACGACTCCTGTCTGTCAATAGCTGGTACCCAGTCCAGACAAAGTGAAAGCCAGAGGGGTGGCTGGTGGACAGAATGTTCCACGGAACTAGACCCAGCTCCCAGGACTGTTGGGAAATGGAGTTTAAAGAGGCAGCACTGGGTCTGCTCTGGATTTCTATAGGATGGTCCCATCCCTGAGCACTTTTTGAAGGGGGAAGGCCTGGGCTCCCAAGGGTACTCTTCCTTTCAGAGGACTCTGTCCCTGGAAACCCCAGTGGTATCTGGGGCCCTAGCATGGACCCAGGCCTTGCCTGCCAAAGCCCCTAATCCCTCAGGGCTATTATCAGCTGCCTAAGCGCCTTAGGGTGGCCAGAGTCCAGCCCAGTCAGGCAGCAAAGTCAGCAGCCCCCTCACCCCATCATGTCCATGCCCCAGGGCACTGCAACCCTGGCTGACTGACCACATGTAGTTCCATAAAGCCACACACCACAGCACAAGCAGATACTTCATTCCCACCCCGAGTAAGCATCCATGGCTCAGTGCCCACCCAGTCCTTCAGCACCCTCTCCTGATGGACGCCTGCACTCCAGACAGATTCATGGGGCCCTGCAGTATAGCCCAGGGCGATAGGCACACGCTTGGGAGCCAGAGAGAGAGCTAGACACAAGCCCAGTGCTGCATACTCCTTGGGGCAAGTTGCTTAACCTCTGCCAATTTCAATTTCCTCATATGTAAAAATGACAAAGTAAAAAAAAAAAAAAATGGGGTGGATGGAAGGAAAAGCCAATCCTCTGAAAGGAAAGCAGCCAGCACAGTACCTGTTGCTCAAATAAAGGGTGTTTAACAAATGAACAAGCTCCAGATTTGAAATCGGAACCCTGCCCTCAGTCCTGGCCCTATCCCTACCTGATAACACATCATCTCATTTTTCTCTCCCACATCACGGAACTGTGTGCCACGGTATGCCAAGTCACTCTACCAGAAATCCAGTCTAACCTAGATTCTTCTATCACCCCTAACATGCGCTTGTTCGTTAAATCCTCCAAATCCTACTACTTCATTTCCTTCTCTATCATCTTCATCTGAAGGTCTGCAGTATCACTCTCCCGGGTCCTCCAGGCTACTCTCCTACACTCACTCCCCAGCTGCCCACTTTCACCTCCGATGTGGAGAAATGTTTTCTTGTTTGTTTTGCAATGCTGGGGTTCAAACACCAGGGCCTTGTACATGCTAGACAAGCATTCTATCACGAAGCTGAACCCTAGCCCAAATGTTGTAAATTTCCTGGGGTATGTAAATGCAGCTCCAAGACAAGAATTACACCATCCTAGCCTTCTTAATAGAAACCCTGAAGCTTTAAGTGCACCCACCCCCTCCAGTCTGTTTCCATTCCACTTCTAGAGTGACCAGACTAAAACAGAAGCTCCACCTGCAGTGCCCTTGATGCCACAGGAAGAGACTTCAAGTTGAGGCTGGCTTGTGATCTTAAGCCACGTCTTTTTCCTTCCAAGAATGAGTTCCTGGGGTGTGGATCCTCCAGGAAGGGTGGACCCGCTTAAAGGGCTAGGTATTTAAATCTCCACCCAGGAGATAAGACAAAGCCTAGCAGGTAAATATTTAACATAATCATACCCTTCCACCCACCAGCAGATTCCTCAGTAACCCTCATCTGCCTGGTCACTAAGCACTATGGACCAGCAGCCTGGGGCCCCTTTGCCCCAAGTGATGGAAGCTCTTCATTATGGCCATCTCTGAGCTCCTGCAGAAGAGGGGAAAGGACTGAGTGTTGAATATGGACCGACCGTGTAACAATGGCACTGTCACCATATTTAATCCTCCTGAGAATTCCAATGTAGAAGAAGTAACCCATGTTAGCTTTCTTTCCAAAACCTCACGGCTAGTAAGGGACAAAGCCAATCCTCTGTCTCCAGTGTGCTTTCCACTGGTGTTAGGATCGTGTTGCATAATCTATATGTTCTCACTTGGGAAATGTTAGGATCCAATAGCCTACAGCCCCAAATGTCTGTTAACCAGAATATCCATGCAGCATATATAGGTCCTAACTTTCCTGGGAGATGGGACTGCTCACCCTACAGAGATGCACAGGGCAGGAAGATGGCCAGGGGGAGCAACCCTGGAACTCCCGAGTCCTGGGCCCACCTCTCTGAGGTCTGCTGTCCACGCACAGGGCCAAACCTGATGGACTTCAGATTCCCCCATACACAGGGGTGTGAAGGAGACAGGGGCACAGTCTCTGTTCTCTCGGGCTCTCAGAAGGCAAGAAACCCACACTCATGAACATGGGCAGGTGCAGGTCCAATCATACAGAAATCCACAGAATGCCTCAACTCTGCCCAGCCATTGAGCTAGGAAGCAAGAGGAGTAAGGAAGATGGAATATAGCAGAGGGTTTTGAAGGATAAAAGGTAGGAAAGGGAGGGACTAAAGGGGACAGGAGTTCTAAATGGAGAATGAAATACCGTTTTTATCTTTTCAGTACCAGGATTGAATTCAGGGGCCCTTAACCACTGAGCTACATCTCCAACCCTATTTTTTTATCTATCTATCTATCTATCTATTTATTTGGTACCAGGGATTGAACCCAGGGGTTCTCAACCACTGAGCCACATCCCCAGCCCATTTTGTATTTTACTTAGAGACAGAGTCTCTCTGAGTTGCTTAGGACCTTGCTAAACTGCTGAGGTTACCTTTGAACTCATGATCCTCCTGCCTCGCCCTCCTGAGCCACTGAACTTGGCTATTTTGGGGGTATTTTTATTTTTTATTTTGAGACTGAGTTTAAGTTGTGATTGTAAATTTTTTTTTTAACATACTGGTAATTGAATCCAAGGGCACTTAATCTCTGAGCCACACCCCCAACCCTTTTTATTTATTTTTTATTTTTTGTATTTAAAATTTAATTTTATTTATTTATTTATGTATGTATGTATGTATGTTAGTTTCCAGGATTGAACCCAGAGGTGACCAACCACTGAGCCACATCCCCTGTCCTTTTCATTTTTTATTTTGAGACTGGGTCTCACTCTATGGCTTAGGACCTCACTAAATTGCTGGGGCTGGCTTTGAATTTGCAATCCTCTTGCTTCAGTTTCCCAGGCCACTGTGGTTATAGATCTGTACCACTGCACCTGATAAAATTTCTGATTTTTATCAAAAAAAAAAAAACTCAATAGTAAGAAAACCCATGTCCCCTCTGCTGTGAAATTTCTTGAAACYCCCCCCCCCCCCAAAAAAAAAAAGGCACAAAAGTCAAAAGCCCATCCCACAAATTGGAAAAGCTGATCTAAGATCCATCCTAGGAAAGCTGGTGTAGACCAAGCCCAAGAAGCCCAGCCTGACTTTGCCCTGGTGCCTGGTCTCTTTCACATGCATGCTCCGCAGACATAATGACCAATTTAATCCTACTATTAATCCTCGCTCGTTTTATACGGCTCTTTTACTACTTTTGTACTAGTTTATAAATCTGGTTTCCTCTGCTAAATGGTGCCTAGAACCCCCAAGATCAGAAGCTCTCCCTTCAGCATGATCCCCGAAGCTCTGGTCTCCCGTGGTTCCTCACACATTCTAGGCCAACAACCTCATGCACAGTCCCAGGCCCATCTCCTCTCCGCTTGTCCAGAGGGTTTATGACAGAACAGCATTGTTCTTAGCAACCTCCACCTCCTGTTGCTTAGCAACTGCAGTTCCAAGTCCCCTACACAAAGGCCGAGAGGCCCCTTCCACACTGGGAGGCAGTAAAAGGGTTAATGGGCTCAGGGGCCTCCCTCTGGGGTCCGGACTCCCAGGGACCAGCTCTGGCTGACTGGGAGCTCCAGACTGGTCACTGGCAGGGGTAGGAACAAAGGCAGGGAAGCCCCCAAAGTCACTGCCTAGGGCCCTTGCAGCTCAAGGAGCAGCAGAGGGACAGAAGGCACCCCCCAGGTAGACAGGGTTGCTAGCCATCCAGTGGCTTCTCTGCCAGGTACCCCAAGAAAGGAGAGAAGCTGGCAAGAAGGAGAAGCATTCCACGTCTACCTGGCAGAGTCCCAGGGAAAGCCCTTCTCCCACCTCTCCTCCACCTCCCCCTGGCCTTGCCCTTAGTCAGACCACATTCTCAGCCAGACAGCCCCCACCCCCCAACCCCAGCCCCTGGCAGGCAGAGACAGGGAGGGCGGGCTGGTGAGCACAGCGTTTTGTCCTCCACTTGTGCTAATTGGGGGYCCCTTTCATCAAGTCCCACAGGGCTGGTGTAGACACATACGCTCCCACCAGGCTGTTTGCCAGTCACTGCCCCCAGTTTGAAAATAAACTCTGCCCTTCTGTGTGCGGCACCTGCCTGCCCTGCCTCCCCACTCTGCTTCAGCCCGCCCTGTGGCAAGAGCCCAGCCAATCCCCGGGCTTCCCTCAGGATTCAAACCAAAGAGGGAAAAGGTGGGGTCCCCCCATCAGCCTGCTCCCAGGTAGCCTTTCCTGGTCTATTTCACATGAAGGCTCCRCAGACATAACAGCCCTCTCTTACCCAACAGCCCGGACCCTTAAGACCTCCCCATATGCCCACTCAACTGTTCCGATTTAAGCTCCATCCAGGATTAGGAAGAAGTCATTTTGGGGAGTCAGCTGGGAGAGAGCAGAAGGCTCCAGAGAGGCCACACACTATTCTATACAGGGGGCCACCAGAAGCAGCAACCCAGTCAGCCCCATCCATTCACTGACTTTGGGGAACAAAGGACCTCCCCAACCCCAACATGCTCTTCTCTACAGGATCAGGCCAAGCCCACACTCCAGAAGCAGAGAGGTCAGAGCCCCACCCACCCTGCGGGCCCATGACTCCCTAGAAACCTGCAATCCTCAAATTAGTATTTTGGAGAGGGAGGGAGGGGGAAGGGAGCTAGCAGACAGTAGAGCCAGGGACTAGGTCAGAGTGGAGTCTGAGGGAGTTCTTTTTTCTTCTTCTTTTTTGGCGGTGTGTGTGGCTGGGGATGAAAACCAGGGCCTCACTCATGCTAAGCAAGCACTCTACCACTGGGGTACATTCCCAGCCCGAGTCTAGGTTTCATCATGAGATCTAGGAATAGTGATTACAGAAGAATGAACCTTTGGAACAGACCATGTGGAATGCTCAATAGCATAACTGTAGAGTATGTGCACTGTGTGTGTATGTGTGTGTGTGTGGGGGGGGGAATGAATCCTTCAATGAATTAACAGTGCTTGGGAGCAGAGCTATCTTGTTAAGTAGAATGAAGGCAGTGGAGCTGGAAATGAGACTGGGCAGGGACAGAGCAGTTCAGAAGAGGCCTTGCCCACCCCAGTTCATCTTTATGGGTCATCTGTCCCTCCCTCCCATCTGGGGTGAGTGCTTACCCACGTAATCAGGGTCAATTCGGGGAGAGTAGAGGCCAAACTGGATGAAGATGGGAAGCAGAAATCCAAATCGCAGCCACTCGATGACATGCAGAGGGGGTCGGCCAGCTGGGGGCAGCAGGTCGCAGCCCAGCACTGCACTCTCGCCAGCCTGGCCCACCACAGAGACCACCTCAGGCTTCCTGCGACCTACATGGTGGGTGGCATGAGGACACAGCAGGCGACCAGGGTGAGAGCTGGGAAGGGAGCTTCCGTCAGTATCTCTGTAGGTTTCTCTGGACTTTGGGTGACTGGAGGAACTCCCAGACCTACCCTTCCCCTGCCCTCCCATGCTCAAAGAACCCCTTGGGAACCACCCCCACACCCTAGACCCCACGACTAACAGAGAGTTCTTGAGTTCCAGGGGTCCAGCTCACCGTCAGCCCCCTGGCTGATGATCAGGCTGAGGATGGCCAGACTGAGGCACCAAACCATAGCCCAGCTGGCCTGCTCACCCGGCCCCTCCTAGCCACAGGAGCCCAGATGGAGGGGCCGAGGGAGGTCCACCACCCGGGGTCAATCCTTCTGATCAGCCTCAAGTAACAGGTTTCAGCTCTCTTCTGAAGTTAGGGCTTAGCTCAGGTAACACCTAAGGAAGCTGTTCTCTGGAGAACCACCCGATCTAAAAAGCAAAATGCAAGGTAACATGCAGAGTTTGGTCAGTAGTGGAGCCCAGAAGAAACCCACAGTCAGAGAAAGACACTTAAGAAGGAGAAAGGAGAGCAGAGAAGTGGTGAATGGTAGGTACCTGGGAACAGACCAAAGAGATAGATTTTTTTTTTTCTTTTTTGCTGTCCGGGGATCAAACCCAGAGCCTCACATATTCTAAGCAAGTACTTTACCACTGAGCTGTATCTCCAGCCCTTTTTATTTGGAGACAAGGTCTTGCTACATTGCCCAGGCTGTCCTTGAATTTGTGATCCTTCTTCCTCAGCCTCTTTAGTAGTTGGCATTACAGGTGTGCACTACCATGTCTGGACCCACCCTAATTTGTCCTCCCCCTCCCCCACACTGGGGATCAAACCCAAGGCCTCATGCATGCTAGGCAAGCATCGTACCACTGAACTACATCCCAAGCTCCAAGACCAGAGATCTTGAAGCCCTGGGAATTAGCTGCAGTGGGAATTCAAAGAGGATGAGGGTGTGCTGGGCAAAGAGATGACACAGGTAAGGAAGTGTCAGGGGTAAGCACAGTTGGAAAGATATTAGGAAAAGCAGAGGAATTCTGAGACTATCTGGTTTACGATGTTCTCAGCAGGCTGAGCCAGGAGAGAACTGGGAGTTTCTATTACCCTGGGGAAAAAGTTTTCAGGGAAATATGGGAGACTCACCTCCCTTCTCTTTCCCCACTCTTGACGCTAACAAGGTAGCAGATAGCAAAACAAACAGTATTAATGCCCCCACACCCAACTGTGACAAATAAGGACCCCAAGGATCTGTGACCAGGAGCAAGATAGCTAGTGTGGGACCAATCCTAAATTAAGATCTAGACCACTTACCTCCAAAGAAAGTGCCCTTCAGGATACCCCTAAATAATCCCTTGCCCCTTCTCCCAGCCTCTATGAAGAGCCCCGGAGGCTGGGGAACCCCATGGCATCTTTATCCACTCAGCCAGGGCTTTGACAGTAAATCAGGCACTGGGAGAGGAGGAGCTGCCTCCCCCCACCCCCACCCCACCCCCCGCTGGTATTAGAGGCCCAGGCAGAATCCTCCAGGTCTGGGCAGGTCCCAGGGCTTGAAGCTGGCGCCACTTGCTCTTTATGATGCTGCCAAGCAGCCCTTCTTCAAGTGCCTCACCCCGATTCCTCCCACTCACACCTCTCCAGTATTCTCAGGGTGCCAGGGTTTGCCAGGTACTCCCTTCCCAAACCCTTGGGGGCATGATCCACAAGAAGCCAAAAATGCCTTAGTCCCTAGGGTATACAAAATGAGTAGGAACTCTTGACCATCTTAGGACAGTCACAGTGAGCCAGGGGGCCCTGCTGGAGGCCTGATAAATCCAAGTGGACTCTGCTCCAGGGCCTTCATCCCATTCTTGGCCTCACAGTTCCATGCTGGTTCTAAAAAAAATGTTTCCTATGGCCGTCTCATCCTTACCTCTACATAATGCCCGTGTGCGTCTAGCTCCTGGCAGTTCACCACACCACTTACCCTCTCTCCCACSGCCCTTCGCCTGCTCTCCCACACTTCCCTGAAAAAGGCTTTTTTTCCAAGGGTATGGTATGGGAACCCCCAGCTCTCTCCTGGTACAGTTTGCCAAGAACCTTGTAACCCAGGCATCCCCAGAATTCCTCATTTTTCCTGGGACCTTTCCAACTCCACTGGCCCCCATTTCCTCTCCTTCTGGGTCTCCCCACCTGGTACTCCCTCATTCTCCCAGGAACTCCCATCCCAGTCATTCCTACTTCTCACAGTCCCCTCGAAATTCCAGTTTCTCACACCTGATCTCCAATTGCAGGAGGTCTTCTGCGATTCAAAATACTCCCTGATGGTCTCCAAAATCCCCATTGGGCCACCCACTTATCTTTTCCTAGGAATTCCCCTCCCTGGAAATCTCCTGCTTCAGCCCACAACACACTTCGGATACTCCGTGCTCAATAATTCCCTTCTCCCTCACATTCTCCGGCCCCCTAGAACTCTTCTTTTCTTTTGGAACCCACCCAGCACTCCCCCACATTATCTCCAGAACTCCTCCAGTTCCGGGGAACCCCTACCCATGCAACAAGAATTCCACTTTACTCCCCAGAACTCCCCTACTTCTGCTTCCCCAAAGAATTCCACTTCTCTCCAGAGCTCCCCCGCTTCCCCCTAACTCTGCACCGTTCCCCGTGCCCCCGCCGGCACCCCACTTCTATCCCCCAGGACACCCCCGCCCTCACCTGCTCTGCACCGCTCAGCTCCGCTCTCGCAGCCACACAATAGGGGGCGGACCCGCCTCCCCGCCTCGGATGCCCGGAGCGCCTCCCGTCGCCCTGGAGACCGCCAATCCCCCCCCTCCCGCGGTGGCCAATTGGAGCCAACAGAGGCCAGGCTAGGCGGGCGGGACCCCTGAGCCGCCTGGGAGTTGTAGTTTCTGGAGAGGACTCAATGGCACGTGGGCTCAGGTCGCCCCCTCGTGGAGCTCTCTACAACCAAGAGTGGGAAGGCGGGTGGCCGCTTCCCGCAGAGAGCCAGAGGGGCGATCTGGATAGGCCGGTGCCCCTGGGGAGACTGAGCCTTTGCAGCCTCCCTGCATGCCCAGCTTCCTTTGTAACCTACCTTCTACCCTCTCCCGACTCCGAACCCGCGAGCCACAGAGGCAACAAAGTGGAAATCTGAGCCTGGGGACGGGAGCACCAGGCGGGGAGAACGACTGCCCGCCCTTCTCCCAGGGGATCCACCCAAGTCCCGGGCTCATCCGATTTCCTCCCCCATTCCCATCCCCACCTCCACCTATTTCCTCTCTTGCCAGACTGGAAATACCTGTCTGCACTGGCGAGCTCCCAGATGTTGCCCGGGCGCCTCCCATGTGTGCAGCTGCGGGAGGGCAGGCTGCGCTCCGGGGTTGCCAAGTCAGCTCTGCAAGCAGCTTCCAACACCAGTGACCCAAAGAATCAGGCCCAGGGGGAAGAAATGACAGGCATTCTGACGATAGAGATTGAAAGGGGAGGAATGAAATAAAGGCTCTCCTACTGAATCCTTGTAGGGTGCCAGACCCTGGGACTAGATACTTTATAACTCACGTAATCTGCACAGAAACGCTGTGAAGTAAGTATAGAACTACTTGACTAAGGAGAAAACAGACTCAACCAGAAAAAATGCTTCTTACCTAAGTATAGGCAGAGTTGTGTTCAGACCCAACCTGGACTTCGTTAAACCCACCCCTTTGGAGCCTTCACCCTCAGACACACACTTATCTCACCCCAGTCTGAAATACTAGACTGAAACTGAGATAGCTGATTCATAGAACTATGGCTGGAAGATCAGTAGAGAACCAGTAGGATGGACTGTTTTTGGACTGTTGACCTGTTAAGGCTGTTTTGCAACAGACTCCCTACCAAATCATCCCAGCCAACCCCAATCTGTTCACATCCCAGGCCAGGAAGTTCAACATTGCTGTGGTATGCATTCTGTCTTCAGTGAGCTCTGACTGCTGGAACATTCTTCCAAGTGTAACTGTCTGGGTGCTTTTTGCCACAGAGATGGAAGTGTACTTGGGGGAGAAGAAGACTGGGCATGGTCTCTTCCATCCTTTCTGCAAAGACTCCTAAAGTAGCAGCTTTGCAACATTACTTTACATTGTAATGGACTGCCCTACCATTTTGTAAGACTATAATGAAAATGTGTTAATGTTTTACAAGAAAGTAAGGGCAGAAAAGATGGTCACTAGAAGGCTTTTTGCCTTCTTGGCTCCTCACCAACTAGCAAGAACCATCTTCCTCCCCCACACTAAATCAGCTTCTCTGGTCCCAAAGTTTCATTTCTGCTATTTCCAGTAGTTTTTGGAGGATAAATTCATGTCATTTGGACATTAAAATAACTTTCTTAARGTAATATTTTGAATTGTTTAAAAAGTTTATGAGATGCTCATGTTTTTCTGGGAGCTTATTTTGTGAGTTTTATTGTCATCATTTTCATTTGAATATAATGTATATTGTAAAGTTTTTTAGTAAGAAAAGGAACCTAGCCCTATAACTTGTTCCCTGTTCCCTCACTACCCTAGAAGTGAAAGTGGATAAAAATTAAAATTAAAGATAAATTTTAAAAAACAGTCTCTTAAGTTAAAAAGTAAAGTTTTTCCTCTAGYTTGTGCTTGATTCATTGTCATAATTCTCTGGGAAAGTTTATTCAGCCTACTAGGATTCCACCTGATCTTAGTATCAACCAACACACATATTTTCAGTTTGCTACAAGAATATGAGAAAATGGTGATTCGAGGGATGCTGTTAATCACATGCCCATGAGCACCGGTCCTCTCACCGTACTAGAAAAGAAGGTTTCCCAAACTTGTCATTAACTTTGTATGTGTGTGTCTCTTGATCCATTGAGACTCTAAGCTCCAGAAGTACCCAGAGTCTATTAAAAGAGCCCCTGCCCGCTCTTCRGCCTGGTCTGTCACCTACCCCTTTATCAGAGTGTGCAGCCTCGAAGTCCACAGTGTCTCTGTGCTCTTCTTTCATGTGTCAGTGTTTTAGCACTTACCTTCTCTCTAGCTAAAATGACCTTTTTCTCCCTTCCCCGGACTCACTGCTAATCACAAGTCAAAAATTCTGTTGCCCTGTTAACCTCCAGAATGGTGGCTCCTCCCACCATTCTGCATCTTCCCCAGGTCCCTTGGCACCTCTCATATCCTTACACAAGTTCTTTGTGGGAAAACAGAGTCTCTTCTGACTCACCAGTGCTAGCTCAAGTCCCTGACACTTAGTAGGTGCTTAGATACTCCCTTCCCCAAGTTTGCTTTCACCTATTTCAAATGGTGAGGAAGATTTGCAAACTATAAAGTGATATCAAGTGATAATTATCCAAGCTTCTAGCAAAGGAAGAGGCCTGGACCTCTCTGAGCTTATATTCAATTCTTTTTTGTSTGTGTCTCTGTGTTCCTTTTCCAGGTGTTCCAGGAAGTGTGAGGGTCTCATCCCTCTCCATTCAGAGACTAGATGTGAGAAGAACAGACTTTACCAACTCCAGGGAGATCCCTGGGCCAGCCCATCCAGGGACCATTCATTCCTTTATTGACTTTCTGTGTGCCAGATTCTGATATACATGAGAATTGGACTGGCTCTCTGTGTSCCTGATGGACTCCAGGTGATTTTTTCCAGGTAGTCTCCAACCCTATAATGGCATCTACTAGGATAGATAAGAAAGGAGCCAGAAGTATTTGGGGTTGCAGAGCTTTGGGGAATCAAGCGGGCTCAGGACCTAAGGGAGGCACAGAAGACTAGCCTCAGACCAAAGACTGCCTTCCAGAAGGACAAGGGTTCTTGCCCTTGGACAGCAGAGTGGATCCGTTTAAAAATGTTAGGAGCTCTTTGGGGACTGGTTTTTCAACCTCACCACCTCCTACCAAAGTCTGGCAGTTGCATAGACAGGATCCACAAGATCTGATCTGAGGAATGATGGAGACAAAGAGTGGCACCTCAAGCTTAGGGGAAGAATTCAAACTGATACCTGGGTTAGGGAAAGAGCAGGGGGTGGAAAGTAGGCAATAACCCAAAGAAGACTCCATAGAGAAGAGACATGGAGATCAATAAGGAAGGAACAGACAGACAGTGGTGCCAGCCACAAATAGAAGTCAGTGGTCCAAGAACTCGGCTCTTAATCCAACAGAACGCTCACCTCTATGAGGAAGGCATTAGAGGTCCAGAGCAGCTGGCATCAGGGAAACAAAAGAGGGCGCCCAGCTCAACTCCAAACCAGATAGGACTGAACCGAGGTCCTTCCCATCCCCCTGTGGGATGGCTTCTGGATGAGAGCAGGGTAGGTGGAGTCATAGTAAATCTATTTGTCAGGATGAGAATGGGGACAGAAGAGAAGAAGAATCAGCAGAAATAATTCCACTTTTATTCAGGATTGTAAGGTGCTGGAATTCTCCTATTTAGGAGTCACGGGTTCAGTTAGGTAAAAAGGACTCTCTCACTTGTCTTCCTTAAAGCATGTGTGTTGGTGGAAATGGGATGGGCAAAGTAAAAGCAAACAACACCTCACATTGAGTGGGTCTTCCAACTCAGTCCCCAAGGGCAGGGGAAAAGCTTGTGGGCTTGGAGAAGGATCTAGGATGCAAAGAAAAAGAGAAAGTGGTTTTTGCTAGAGCAAYCAATGAGGACAAAAGGACCAAACAAGGCTCCCCCAGAAGTAGTGGGTACTTAATTTGATTTTATTGCCAGGTGGTYTTCTCTTGGAAAATATGGTCCTTTGAGTATCCACCCCTGAGAACCCCTGCTTCCCCTCTGCCCACCAGGCCATAAGATCCCCAGAGCTGGAAAGAAAAGCCAGAGTCAAGACCCAGGTCAGGCTGGGATGGGGCCAGCCTTCCCCCTTTTCCTCAGTCTCATTCTGTTTCTCTTGAGATACCTCATCCTTGGCATTTTGTAGACTCTGATGACCCAGAGGCTCACCACTAGAATTACCAAGAGCAAGAGGAGCAGCAGTCCCTTAGCCAGGAGGCAGAAGACTGTTGAAGACTTCTCAGGATAGCCAGGATCTGGGATAGAAGACAGGAGGGAAAGGGGCTCATCAGCGAGAAGAGCAAGATTAGGAGGCAGCCGCCCCAAGTTCCACAAGAAGGGGTCTCAGGTTTACAATCAGTTTATGTCTCTTTGCAAGTAGCTCTGGAAATGTCTATTCCATGCACAGAAGCTCAGGAACTGAGCTCTGGGGAGCAATCTCAATTCAAGTGGAGAAGAGATCTTTGGAAGTTGGGAGCATCATACTCCCCAGTTCCGGTATCAAGCTGCTAATAGGAGGGATGTAGATTCTGGAATCTGTGTGCTCTTAAGAAGAATCAGGATGGGGAGAGATGGGGCCTGGAGGCATGGGTCTTGCATGAGCTTAGGGATTGTCTCTGGGGTCCTTATACCTGCACAGAAAGACCCAGCAGGGATAGGATGGGAGCTGGTGTTGCTGATGGGGTTGCTGACCCTGCAGGTATAGGAAAGAGCACTGTCCCCAGGCCTCCAGGATGTTCTGAGGATGGGGCCTTCGTGGGCTGTGCCAGCACTGTCCCCCCAGGAGAGCCAGCTGTAGGTCACATCCATGCCTCCTCTCTCCACAAAGCATGTCAGGGACATATTACAGGAACCTTCCCCAGAGATCTCAAAGTTCACAGTGATTCTGGGCTTCAACAGCCGTTCTAGAAGAGAAAGAAAAGAAAAAAAAAAAAAAAACACAAAGACTCACTGAACAATCAGAATTGAATCTATTTTTCGAAGCTCCTCATCCTTGGGGTATGGATGCTGCTTGGAGAGCCCATTCACCTAAATAACAAATAAACAAAACCAAACAAAAAATAACCTCCAGGGATGGGGTCGTGGCTCAGTGGTAGAGCACTTGCCTGACATGTGTGAGGCACTGGGCTCGATTCTCAGCACCCCATAGAAATGAATGAATAAAATAAAGGTCCATCAACATTAAAAAAAAAAAAAACCTCCATAACACTTATGGTTCCAGGGTCCCCAGGCAACTGCTAAGGTAGACCAAGCTGACGTTAGTGTCTTCTACCTTCTACCTCCTCTTTATGCCTTCTCTTTTACTTTTTTTTTTTTTTTTTTTTTGGTACTGGGATTAAAGATTTTGGGGGGTGGAGCTGTACCGGGGATTAAACTCAGGAACATTCAATCACTGAGCCACATCCCCAACCCTATTTTGWATTTWATTTAGATACAGGGTCTCACTGAGTTGCTGAGTGCCTCGCTTTTGCTGAGGCTAGCTTTGAACTCACGATCCTCCTGCCTCAGCCTCCCCATCCACTGGAATTACAGGCATGTGCCACTGCACCCAGCTGGGATTAAAGATTTTTAAACCCAAGGGTGTTCTACCACTGAGTCACATCCCCAATGCTTTTAATTTTTTACTTTGAGAAAAGGTCTTGCTAAGGGGCTGGGGTTGTGGCTCAGAGATAGAGCACTCACCTAACATGTGCGAGGCCCTGCGTTTGATCCTCAGCACCACATAAAATAAATAAATAAATTTTATATATATATATATATATTTTTTTTTTTTAAGAAAAGGTCTTGCTAAGTTTCCCAGGCTGACTTTGAATTTGTCATCCTCCTGCCTCAGCCTCCAGAATCACTGGGATTACAGGCATGTGCCACCATGCCTGGTTCTTCTTTTTAACTTTTATTTATTTATTTTCTTAAAGAGAGAGAGAGAGAGAATTTTTTTTAATATTTATTTTTTAGTCTTCAGTGGACACAACATCTTTGTTTTTGTATGTGGTTCTGAGGATTGAACCCGGGCCGCACGCATGCCAGGTGAGCGCGCTACCTCTTGAGCCACCTCCCCAGCCCTCTTTCTATCTTTTACATCCCACCTTCCTCCAAACCCTCTTCTGCTTCTTTGATTCTACAAAATATTATCACCTCTCCCAATGGCACTTGTATTTTAACCCTTGTCTCTCCAAGATTTAAGTAGATTCAGAGTGACCAGCACAAAAAAATAGAAACTTGGGTTCAAGTAAATGGAAGACATTGATAAGACCCCTCAAACTGCACAGTGGGGATTACTAGTGTTCAAGAATAGAAGTGGTGTTCATCCCTTTGACACACAATCTCACTGGGAGAGAAAAGACCCTGAGAGGGTRTGTACCCAAAGCCCCTCACCCCTGCGTGGGGACACCCTTTAGAGTGCCCCATCCTTTATTTCTCTAGCTCACCCACCTGTTGCTGCAGCTCAGATACTGGAGCTGGGCACACTGGAAGGGGTTTGCCCTCTCATCCTGTCCCCTCAGACCCAAACCCTGAGTCCTGAGACCCCTAACTCTATAGCCTGGGAAGCTCGGGAGAGCATAAGTCAGCGACAGTTTTGCGGTCCCCAGTCGGTCCCCAGTCTRAACTCACGGTAGACGCGTAGATTGTACAGCTGGGTGGTTGACAGCTGAGCTGTCCTCATGTTGACTTCGGCTTCGTAACACCCTGCGTCCTTCCAGCTCACATTGCTGATGTACAGAGAGTAGCTGGGCTCCAGGAAGCTCACTCGACCCTGGTAGTGAGGGTCAATCACGGTGATGGTCGCTGGCTGTCCCTCTTTCCCTGGCGTCACCGTGGCCAGCCTTCTCTGAGAGGACCAGATGATGTTCTCAACCTCTTCATCCGGTGGGATTTCCAGGGGGAGGCTGATGGACTCCTGAAGGATCGCAACTACTTCCTCCGTATCCGCATCATCTCCAGAGTTCCCTGTGGCTGCAGAAGTAGGAAGAAAAGGGATGGAAATGGCCCAGCTGGTTTCTCTGGGCTGCGGAGCTTGGCCTCAGGAGCTGTGGCTCCATCACAGTCGAGAAACTTCTCAATCCGACCTTTTCTGGCTGTAGGCTCCATTGCTCCCGAGTAGAACCCACCAGGGTGAGCTTCCCTCTGACTTTTCACTCTTCAGATTTAACTTCTCTTTTGCCACCCTGGGACTTCTCCCCCTTGTGTGTTCCCAGATGTCCTTCTCTTTTGATCCTGCCTTGAAGCCACACCCTGCTCCTTGTACTCCCAGAAAAACCTGACACAGACAACTCCCCCAAAGGGTCTCACTAGCAGAACAGGAGAACTGARTGGAGAAGAAGAGACAGTCACTCACCGCCCTGGAGTAGCAGGAAAAGAAGCAGCCAAGGAAGAGCGCCCATGTCAGCAGTGACTTGGTCCGGCCCCCAGGATGTGGACAAGACAAGCTGTGGACCAGACTGGTTGGCAGTCCTGAGGAAAGGGAAATAATTCTTCCTCTAACTTCCTCCATTCTCACTGAGCCCCTCCCTAGCCCTCCCAGAAAGACTTCTCTCTCTGGGCCTGATCRTCAGATGGTTTGTCCACTAACTCATGTCCATTCACCAAACTCAGCTCAAATCCCACTTCCCAATGAATGCTTTCTAGACTTCTTACCCTCTGGGTGCCCAGATCCCCCATAGATACCACATGCCCCAAACTCTCCCGAGCCTGTCATTTGACCCAGCCATCAGTAGTTCCTATGTCGCTGTGGTCATGTGATCTTATAAATATCATGATCTCCCCCAGAAGGACTCCATCTTGGGTTCCCTCTGTATGTCTCAGCCTTGCTGCCCGCACCCCACACACACACACCCCGAGTCACACATTAGCACTCAATCGCTGTCTTCAGAATGGACACGTGAAGGAACTCTTTCTATTTAAAGCCAGTTTTGTTCCTACTTGAGATACTATTCAGAGGGGGAAATTTGCTCCTTTGCTCAAAAGCAGTTTGGACCAAAGTGGATCTGGGTTATTGATATTGTTATGTAAAGGCTTTAAAATCACTCTGTATGAACGCATTGTTGATCAAAGCTATAGGAAGACTATAGCCAGATTCAGGAATAGATTATCAGAACATCGGGGTAAGAACAGACTTTCTGAGAGTTGGGGCTGTCCAGGAGGCAACGGGTGGGTGGCCTTGAGAGGTAGTTTCTGTCCCCAGTATTCAAGCTAAGACTGGACCACCGTGTGCTTGAATGTTCTGTAGTGTCTCTGACATCAGATGGATCCTCAGATTGAATAATCTTTAAGCTTCTTCTAAAAACACTCAAGTCTATGAATTTGTGCTGWAATGAGGAAGCAAAAATGGTGTCTCAAGTCCACAGACACAATGAAGGTGTACATATATTCAATTCTAGTCCTGTACCAACATTTCACATCTCTAGTTCAGTAAATTCAACCCTTAATCAARTGTTTATTGAGCAGCTTCTATGATCCACCCACTTGTCCTCAGTGCTGGGCAATTAGCAATAACCAATAGTTTAGATTTGTGACAATGGGACCCCTAGGCTCACAACTGATCTTGGACAAGCAACTACAAATTTGACATATCCTGCCAAAGCAAAAACTGGAAGAATCTGCAGGGTAAGGTGGCACACACCTGTAATCCCAGAGGCTTCAGRGGCTGAGGCAGGAGGTTTGAAGGTTCAAAGCCAGCTTTAGCATTGGCATGGTGCTAAGGAACTCAGCAAGGTGAGGTGTAAAGCAACTCAATGAGACCCTGTATCCAAATAAAATATAAAATAGTGATGAGGGTGTGGCTTAGTGGTAGAGCTAGTGGTAGAGTGCCCCTGAGTTCAATCCCCAGTATCAAAATAAATAAATAAATAAATAAATAAATAAATAAATAAACTAGAAGAACCTATAATAAGGTCACTTAGGAAAGTTGGAGTCAAGAGGATTGAGAAAAAGCTATGGAAGAGAAATGATATTTGGGCTAAGATCTCAAGGATGAATAGAATCTGCTAAGTAAAGAGAAGAAATGGTTAGTTCTTAAAGTTTATGAGCACCAAGCCTCAGGRGATAGGATTTTTTAAAATAAAGGTAGATCTGATTTGGGCCTGAGTATGAAACTTTGTTTTATTAGTCTTCCCACCTATTTAAAAGATAAAATAATATAGAGCAATTTCAATATTTGACCTGTATCCAAAGAAAAATAAATCAGTATGTTGAAGTTGGCACTCCAGTTTACTGTTGTAATATTCACTATGACCAGGATATGGAAACAATCTAAGTGTCCATCAAAGAATGGATGGTTAAGGGAATGTGGGCAATACCACCATGGTATCCTACTCAGCTTTTAAAAAGAAAGAAATTATGTCATTTGTAACAACATAGATGAACCAGAGGACATTGTGTTAAGGTGAGAGAAGTCTGGTACAGAAAGACAAATACCACATGATCTCACTTATACATTGGATCTTAAAAAGCTAAACTCACATAAATAAAGAGTAGAATGGTAGTTTCCAGGGGTTAGGGGTGGGTGGGTAGGTAGAGAGATGTTGGTCATAGGATACATAATTTCAGTTGGTCAGGAAATACAAGTTCAAGAGATCTATTGCACAAAATGGTTACTAAGATTTATAACAATCATAGTATTCTTGGAAGTTGATAAGAGAGCAGATTTTAAATGTACACATCACAAAAACCAAGTATGTGAAGTAATCCATGTATTATAGCTAGATCTAGCCATTTTACAATGTCACGTGACAGCGTGGTGTACGTGACAAGTGTAGACACAAATTTTTGTCAACTAAAAACACAAAATGAAAAATCTTTCAAATAAGATTAAAGCAAGAAGCAAAAAAAAAAAAAAAAAAAAACCAGGTCATGGTGCATAATGTTCAGAGTTTAAAGTTCAGTGAGTATATCTGTTAGGTTCTTTGAGAAGCAGATGCTGGAATTAGGAGTAAAAGAGGCTTAGTGGGGGTTACTGCCTGGAAAAGATCAAAGAGGGAAGGAGCAGATGGAGTAGGGAGATCTTCAGGCCATGAAGCAGTTCTCGCAGTCTCTGCTAGCTCAACAGTGAGGTCTGGAACAAAGGTTGCACAGTAAAGGGGACCTGTGTTGGGCAGGAGTGTCCAGGTACACTCACCGTGCAAGAATGTCCAAGTGCCAATACGGTGTGTAGCTATTGGCCGGGCTGCCCAGGATCCTGACAGTGCTACAGCCAGAGGCTATCAGTTCCCGGTACTCCTTGCAGCTGAAGATAAGTTTTCTCTTGAAGGGAGAGTGAGGGGCACCTTCCTGGCTGCTACAGCGAGTATGCTGATAGCCAGAAGGTAACTGTATTCAGGTTTATTAAACCTGTCTCCCTAAATAATCATAAACAATCCATTAAACCTATCTACCTCCAGTCTTCACTGAGCCCTCCCAGTTGAATGTAGAGAAAGTGGCTTCTCAGAGTGGATTCTCCAGTCCGATTCCCCTTCTAGCTCAGGGATTGTGATCCACATGCAACTTCATTTCTGTCTCCCACGGTTTCTTCACTCTTAGTCACTGGGGTAGTGTTCCCCTGCCCTGAGAATGTGGGCTTGGTTTCTGGTTTCAGTTCAGAATGAGAGTTTCCAGCTGGGTGCGATGGCACACATCTGTCATCTCAGCTACCAGGAAGTCCAAGGCGGGGGAACCACAGTTCCAGGGCAGCATTGGCAACTTAGCAATATTCTGTCTCAAAATTTAAAAACTGGGGATGTAGTTCAGAGATAGAGCATCCCAGTACAGGACAGAGAGAGAAATTGAAAGAGAGGGAAACTTCCTGTCCCATGTCATATAGAAAACTCCAAACCTAAATTATAATCAAATAATCCCTGCTTTTCCTGGCTTGGATTTGTTTGGACTAGGAGCCTGAGATGGGAAAGGGCAGGAAAAAGCTCTCTTCTCACTCTCAGCTTACCTCTCCCTGCTGCACTCCTGACTGATATACTCTCTCAACTGTCTCCCCAAAACTGTTTCCCTCTCCAGAAAGATGGGGAAGGATTGGGAGTTCTTACCTGGCTGAGTGGCTTTGCATGTCTAGCAAATGATGAAGAGGAACTGTTTTCTCTTGGGAGACAATTATGGCTCCCTTTCTTCCACCCTTGGTCAGGAGTGGAGGCACCTCTATTCTGGGTGATCACTTGCAACTCCTTCCTCAGTCCCTGGACATCTGGCCACACACCTCCATTCTCCTCTCTTACCCCACCAAATGCCTCTCTTGTGCAGCATCCAGGCCAACCAAGCAGCCTGTCTGTTAAGGGTGCCCTCGGTTATCCATCATAAACATTCCTGCCATGACAGATTCCCTCCAGGATCTAGGACATGGCTCCACAATCCTGGCTCCTTCTTGGGAGTCAGATCTTAATTCACAGTTTTTACTCTCCAGGGCTTATCTTCGGCTGCTGTCCCCTAGGACTCTCACTGGTAGGACGTACTTCTCATAGTTCTCTCTTCTTCTTGAAGTCCCCCTCACCTGGCTTATGTCCAGAGGTAACAACTATTTGCAATTTTCCAGCCATGGGTGAGGGGCCTCCAAGAACAACAACACCATTTCTCCTTAATCCCCCCCCCCTGTAAATTCTGCAAGGGGAGCTATCCCTGACACTTCCTTTAATCTCCTGACACCTGTCACACTGTTAGCTCCAAATAATCAAGCAAGAAGACATCCATTCTAACATCTTGCTTATAGCACATACTTAAATTTCTCTATGGCCCAGCCTATTCACCTCTGTGATGGGCAGTTTTATGACTGAGTCCTACTTGAAGTTTATACTCTGGACAGGTTCTGTTTTTCCGCTTCTTGGCTTTTTCTGCAAACATAGGAGGCCACCCAGCCTAAGCACAGGTGCAACTGGAGCTTTGTGCACCAGCCAATGAAGGGACCAGTCAGTGGATCAATGTTCTCTGGACTATTCTGATGCCTGTTCTTCATGGTTCTTCAGAAGGTCTGAGCTCCTATTGTCCTCAGCAGTCATCAGCTGGCACATCTTTTATTAACTTTTCTCCCTTCTCCATCCATTTTCCTCATTCCTCCTTCTTGGATCATCTCCCAGAGAGATTTCCTCCACCCTTTTCTAAGGGTGTGTTGGGGTGGGGCACAGTAAAACATTATATACGACAAAGTGGTTGCATCAGCAAAATGTAGACCTCCTTCTCTTCTGCCCGGATCTTTAAAAGTAAAAAAAAAAAAAAAAAAAAAAAAAAAAAGTTCCCTGCCCCAATTCTGATATAAAACTTTGAAAAAGAGGGAGAGGTGAAAATTTGATTCTGCTCTGTTGGAGAGGATGAAGGAAGATAATAAAGGTCCAAGCCTTTGCTCAAAAAAAATTTTTTTCAGGTTCTCTTTGGATCTGGAAAGATGGGGACCCATAGGGCAGACCCACAG